ATACTGGAAATTGAGTTAAAGAGTACAACATAATTTTTGCTTTGGAAAGTGTCTTTAGCAGAACCATTGACCTTCTATGCTTATAATTTCGATCAACAGAGGTGAGAAACTGTTTGGTTAACATTCCAAAAACCTTTGCCCATAAATTTGTTTTCGGTCGGTTTTATGTCGCACTATCACAGTAGAGGTCATTTAGTGCGTAATCAGATTTACTGGTAGAGGAAGACCTCGGGTATCCGTCCGTGCACTATTTCAGTCACCTGTGCAGAATCACCAATTTATGAGCTAGCTAGATAGCTTTCTCACATGATAGAATCCAAAGTCCCCGACGGAATTAAAACCTACATCGGTCAGGGGCAATTGATTTAAAGTCATTGACCTTAACCACTCGACAGAGGACGTCCCTGAGAAAAATTAGGAAGACAAATGAATTGATATTGATGTCCATTTTGCACAAGATAGTTCTGTATACACAAAAAGGAGAGTTTGAAAACTCATTTACTTTGCGAGAAAAGAAACAAATTGAAAAAGTAAATATAAAACTTTATTTCATGAGAAGACAACCGTGAAAAAAGACGACTTTTCCTTAAATACAAGAGTCAATATACCGTCCAGCCACCACCGTCTGTTTCCATGTCACAATGAACAGTCAGGACCTTCCCGGACTTCCAAAGTTCTATCTGATATTGTCCACTTTTTGCCTTAGGGATTTTATCGAGGACATCCTTGCAATCACGTGGTACTATGAGTAGAAAAAAATGCAACAAGAAATAACAGTTACCTAAAGCCACCAGTAGGAGAGGCCTCACCAGCATGCACGTCAATACAGTCAAACTAAGCTCTAAACTAATGTTAACTAGCTTTATTACGGACTCCGCTGAGGGTTTTTTCCACATGACTGGGCTAGAAAACACTATTGCATTTAATGAAGGTCTTTATCAAAAGCTTGTGTACAAAATTTCAGATCATTCACTCACGCCTTTTTAGCCAAAATGATAATTCTAATTTCGAAAAAAGACCCAAAATTCAATAGCGTTGCAACCTCAACAATCTTATTTATGAAAGAAATTCCATTTTTTTGTTGAAGTTCTTTTGGGCCTTGAATAAGATTCTTTAAAATCAGGAGGAAAAAAACGATTTGTTTGTTTTATCATTTGATATACATATGTTTAAAAAGTTATATAGCCACTATGTATTAATCGTGCGTAAACATTTAGCGCTGTACCCTCAACAGGTTAATTCCAAAACAAATTATCATTGCATTTTATTTTCAAGGCAATTACAGTTAAGAACTATCTACTTTGAAAGACCAGCTTCTAGAATGGTTTAATAAATGGGGTATCTATAAACTTATATAACCTTAAATTGTTGCTATTAATATAATAAAGGTTTGATACGATACATTCACATGTTACAGGCTGCCATTTCCCCGATGCCTCACATTTCACTTCTTGCTGACTTGGAAAATATCCAGTGTCACATTTCACTGCAGCAATGTCAAGGAACTTGTTTTCTCCCGGCTTATTTACCTGTATTTTACCATTGTCTATGGTCAGGTTAATGTCACAAGCTGGAAATAAAAAGAAACGACATGTTAATCAAACAACTGCAAATACTTTGAAAAGTGTAATTACAAATACAAAGTATAACGTGAAAATCTTGTCGCAATATATAGTTGTCAATGGACAGTAGGCCTACTCAATCAACGTCGTAAATGATATTATACGATATCATAATACGTATTATCTGGAAAGTATCGTTGGACTGCAACCAAGTTTTCAATATAACACAATATAAGGATTATGTCAAAAATAATATTACACTTTATATCGCAAGGTTTCACATATTTAACCCCTAAGTAAAATTGATTTATAAGACATCCATTGTATTTTTAGTTTATTTGTCAACGCCGACTGTAACACAATCTTTGGACATTTTCCGGCAACTGGGACCAGTATTGAACACTTTCTCTGCAAGTGTCGGGCTCTGCAAGTGTCGGGCTACTTATCCAACATGAGATTAGAGTCAAACGACCATTAAACCATCAAAGACGGAAAAAACAACCAATCCTATTACAAGTAGAGAAATTGATAGCGAACAGCATGGATCCTGACCAGACTGCGCGGATGCGAAGGCTGGTCTTGATCAATGCTGGTCGCAAACGCACTATGTTGGTTTTCTCGTGACGCAACTCATTTGTCACAGATAGAAAAAATGGCCTCATCAGAAGATCAAATCAACGCCTTCTGAATTACTAACCCAATGTTTTTCGTATCAAGCTAAGTGGACAGACTAGTACATAATTTAGAGGTTAAACTTACTTATATCTTTGCACACGTGAGAATCACCTTTCTGATAACATCTTTGGTTCACTTTGCATGGCCTTGAGCTACAACTTTTAACCATTGTCTGTAAAGAACAAAAGTGCTTAATTGTAACCTTCATTTATTTTCTCAAACTTGGATTTCCTGAAAGGATGCTCTGTAAAATGTTTGTATAAAGGAACACAATTTGAGGAGATAAAGTTAAAATAAGGTTTAAATGTTGACAAAAATGGTGTAAAAGCTTCACACCTAATAATGAAATTCAGATGTTAAAGTGTTTTAAGAAATTTTACAGCTAGTTTTATCCTTCAGCACAAGTTCAGTTGCACATGTCATAACAATGAAGAAATTGAGATACTTACGCTAGGCCATTCGCTGATGTCAGAAAAAACAGCGCCTCCTTTGGTCTCAAACTCCGATGGATGAACAGACGATCGATCAGCATCGTTCAATTTGCACCTGTTTTCCTGTCTATCAAAGTCAGTAGATTTACATACAGACATTGACATACAGGTCCGCGCACAGTCTTGATGATTCGTATCATTAATTACAAGCACGGAATGACCGATCAATGCTTTATTAAGATTGTTCTTGCTTATTTGAAATGCTTTACACGTGCTTGAATAAACTGTTCCGAATAAAACAGCGATAATAATTACAAATCCAGCAGTCAAAGCCATTGTTTTAAACTGATGTAACTTTGTTTATTAGCCAACCAATATATAAATAAATTCAGTATGGTGATCGTATCTTGAGACGCGGGACAGTTGCGTCAAAATGATATGATTAAATTAGAGTAATGCAAGCCTTCTGTTTTCAAAAACACAACGCATGCGCAAGTAGCTATAGCGCGCGCCCAAAGATCTTTGTTGACACGTTCCATACAAATAGTAGAGTTTCATATTTTCAACATTACATAATGGATAAAGCTATTGCATTTTGTTTGATTTGAAATCCTGAGTCTGTGGAAAATCTAATACACACTTATAAGCAAACAAAACTGGTTATTGGTTTATACAGAATTTATTTGAGTTCGATTGTGTAGGAAGCTATAAGCTTCAAACACTTTCGAATCCGTTCCTGGAACCAACAGTACTGAGCAATGAGTGTAAAGTTTCTTGCACAGCCAGGCGGTGGAATATCCTCTTAAAGCAGCACGCCTCCAGATTCATGTTAATTTTCATAAAAAATTTGAAAATTTATCTAAAAGTATTTTTAGTGAAGTAACCAAAAGGAAGCAATTTACACATCATCAATGGCACTTACAACCCACGTAAATTACTAAAAAAGAGGATAAATTATGCAAAAATAGTCATTACTGCGTTAGTTACGCAGTAGAAATATGGTGATAAATACTGAAAAAATAGTCATTATTCATACATGACATGCAGATTATTACTTGAATCTTGAACATTTTACTTTTCCTAAAATCTAAGTACATTTTTCTCAAGTTTGATTTTATTGAAATATTTTCGCTCATCTGGAGGCATGCAGCTTTAACGGATGCACTAACAGGAGCCATCGCCGCGCGGGGCAACCCTCGACAATTTTATTTTTTAATACAAACAAATAAAACCCTTAAGGATATAAAAAAAAACCATAGAGTTTCCTTTTTTTTCAAATTCAATAGGTAGGTCTAGTCACACATTTTGTTTTGTCCAAGTATTAATCATAACGATAATGTTAAATCATCAATTTAACATCTGGAACTGTCCATACGGTCCAAATTTCATAGCCGTACATTTAAAGACAAGACAGTAGGTCACTTCAGCGATTATCTTGGTCAGCTGATATCAAAGTTAAATTTTAAATCTAAAACTGTGCACATAATCCAAATTTCATAGCTGTACATCAAAGTACAAGAAAGAAGGTAACTTCATCAAGATCTAGGTCAGCTAATATCAAGTTCAATTTCACATTTGAAAGTGTACAAGCATATGTTTCAAAATTTCATAACTTCACATGAAAGGACAAGATGGTCTTTCAGTTCAAAGAAGTGTTGATCAAGGTACAAGTTTGCGGACGGCAACGGCAATGGGAACGCCGACATGACTTAACAATACGTCTACCATTATTATCATTATTATTTCTTTACAAATATTCGAGCTTAAAATAAAACAATTCAAAGAATTACTGATTTCTTCCAGAGGCTTTATTATATAAGATATAGTGTCTCTGAACATATACACAAATTTTTTCGGCACTTTGAATAGTCAACATTCAAGAGTTTATAATAATAGTCTTGACTTTTGATTAACAAATCTAATTCGAATTCATTTTGTAAAAATGTGTGGTCAAAATACTTTTATATGTAGAAAATACATGTATTTGCGAATGGTAATTGTTTCCCTACCTTACTCAGGGCTGGGAATCTGCGTCGTATGCTACAAAATGATAACAAACGCCGTCATCTTGGAACGAAAAGAGTCTGTTTTTGTTGAAAAATCTTTTTTGTTGCAAATGACTGTAAACCAAATATATTTATAAACACGCTTCACTATTTGCCGCTTCGTTCGGTATATGTTGCTTGCAAACCTTTTTTGTATAACAGGAGATATAGCAACTTGCAACTCGAAGCGGAGCTGAATTTTTATAGAGTTGTGTGGATACGACGCAATTCATTTTGCTTTATCTGTCGTTTTTTCCTCTAATTGATAATATATTCGTTTCAGGGTTCACCATATAATTCAAAATACATTTTTGCATCATTTACTAAAATTTCATTAAAAAGAAATGTTTGTTTTCCAAGAAAATAATAATTTGTACAAACAGATACGACGTAGTTGAAAATAAAATATGATACGACACAGTTGTATTAAATTTTCATTGCAGTTCAGCTATTAAATCAGGACTGGGAATCAAAATTGCGTCGTATACTACAAAATGTAAACTAACGCTGCCATCTTGGAACGAAAATGTTTGTTTTGTTTATAATTTTTTTTGTTGGAAATGACTGACAAACAATATATGAATTAACACGCTACACTATTTTCCGCTTCGTTCGGTATATGAAGCTTGTACAATAAAAGTTATAGCGAACTTGCAGCTCGATGCGGAGCAATTTTCGCAGATTAGGAAATACAATGCTGACATTCAATCTCAGGAACAGCGCTTCCCAACAATCCTAATAACAAAATTTAGTTCATAAACTAGCTTAAACTAGCGATGTAAAAGAAAGAAATATTTCATTTTGTTACATGTATCCAGTGAATTATAATTAACGCATTCAAAGCTTCAAAGAAGCGTTGGCTTATAGAAAATCAATAAATGCGCACTCACAAATTATGCGAATGAATATCATTTTAATCAATGAAAATTGTTCGGTCTTTTCAGTAAAGCTTCGAATTACTATTGATCGCCTAAATGAAAATTTGTTATTTAGACGTTCAGTAAAATAAATTAAGGATGTTGACTCCAGGACTGGGACAAACTTAGGCAGTCGACGATCGATAATCAATTTCTGCAAAAAGTAACGGTCTTATAATTCACGTAAGCAAAGCGCTAATCTTAACCACACTTCGGCGTGTATAACATAAAGAGAAGTGAAATTTTATACATACATGGCGAGGAGATTTTTGCTACATTATTTACATCAGTGTTAAACAACAGGTTTACCGTGAACAAAATATCTAAAAATAAATAAGGATTACAAACCCTTATTGAGAATGATGTGGTTTGCTTAAGACTGATTTTTAATAATTTTTCCCCGTGGTCCAGGGGTTACACGCAGGTTTAGGAAGGGAGGGGTCTGGGGTTCAAATCCCAGTCATGGCAACTTATGTTTTTTTTTTTTTAATTTTTATTTTTAAGTATTTTTATCAATTTTAACATTATTTCTAAAGGAATTAGCCACGATGTGCAAAGATAAAGTGTGAAAGTCATAAAAATGTACATATATGATCCCATAATGCAAGCTATAAAAGCTCTGGTCATGCAAAATTGCTCAAATCCAAACTTTTATAGCAAAATATCTCAACGCAGTCACTGCATCTCGGTGCCCGGCAAGATGAATTATAGTATATCAAAATAAACTTATACAGGGAAATACATACATATACTGTACGATTTAGATTGCAAAGATCAGAAAATACCGCAGAGCTTGCAGCCCTTTGATTTTAACGAAATATCAAAGTAAACAGTGATCTTAGAGAGCAAGGAAAAAATACATATCAACAAGAAATTTAAATGTTATTCTCTTTATAATTAATTCAAATATTTGAAATTTTAAAGCTTAATGACAGAGGTTTATAAAAAAACTGCTTATTTGTACAGCTTACATTCAAGACAATGGTTAACAAATTTTGTTGGGAAAAAAACGGACAGGTGTGTCCAACCGAGACCGAGCTGTTTATGTTAACTGACTTCAAATCAATTGCACTGGACTGCTGTACATTTGAAAAACACCAGGGACTTTTGATTCTTTCCTGTCGAAAACCTATCAAGCTAGTTTTTAATTTTCGATGGTTCTATGCAGGTGCAACATTCAGACATTATGCCTGAAATAATGCACCCAAAGTAAGGCTAAAGTGTATACTGAAAGTTTTGAAATAAAACCACAAAAAAACAGTCATTACCTAGAACATGCAAAACCACAGTTTACTATGAGCCTTAATGATATTTTTGTGATTCAAGTTCATAGACTTCTAAATTTAAAACAAAATAGGAAAAAATATTGAACATAAAAGAAAATATCTGAATTTATTTCAGATATTATGATAAATAAAGTAACATGTTCATGTTTATCTGAAAAGTAGCTTCCGCAAGGTAAACTTTCAAATTAAATGTTATACTGGACATGACACAATGCATTCTAAATAATCAAAAGCATCGGTATATTGCTATATACTGCGAATGATCTCTAATAGTTTTTTTATTTAGTGCAAGTGAAGTAAAATAGACATATATTGCCGTTGCAAAGACTGCCAAAAAATCACATTTTATCATTTCGTTCAAATTATTATTTTCTTGGAAAAATAAGCATACCTTTTTAATGAAATTTTAGTAAATGATGCAAAATTGTATTTCTAAGTTTATGGTAATTTCTGAAATGAGTATTTAATTGATTTGAAGGAAAAAACGATGGATAAAGCAATATGACTTGCGTCGTATCCACAAATTTTCATAACAATTCTCATCCGCTTCGAGTTGCAAGTTCGCTGTAACTTTTGTTGTACAAAATAGTTGTGCAGGGCACATATACAGAACAAAGCGGGAAATGGTGGAGCGTGCTATACATATCTCTTGTTTTCAGTCATTTCCAACAAAAAGAGTTATAAACAAAAACATACCATTTTCGTTCCAAGAGGGCGGCGTTTGTTTACATTTTGTAGGATACGACACAGTTTTGATTCACAGCTCTGTTATTTCTTCGCTAACAGGAGGACACCTTAGTTACATGGTAAACATTCAAGATTTGCTCCTTATTGATGAGTCTTGTTGGATTTCATTTTTATCAAGTCAAATAAATCAGTAGAAAATATTTGCGAATAATAGCATGTTTAAATTGTAACCCAGCTTCTTCACTTGCGTTTTTTTTTATCTTGTTTTCTATATCATATGAAATTATGAATATATGAAACCGATCACCCTTGGGTTAGTAATCCTCTTTCAAACCCGGTAAGATTTCTTCTTTCATTAATTACACCGAATTGACTTCAGTGTTCAATTTCATTACATCAAAGTTTGACCAATCACATGAAAGGAGCTTTTAGTAAAAATGCACGAGGGTTAAATTTTCATTTCAAGATGATGAACATTATGTAAACAACGTATATTTGATAAACATTTCTAAGTATCGGGATAGAAAAATCCGTAAATATTACTAAAATAGCGGTGCTGAAAATCGTATAGCACATGGGCTCTCACAACTCACGTGCAAAACTTCTTTTCATATTCCTACACGTACGCGATATTCACGCCTTTTTTATCTACAATGAAACTTCATAAGACCAAATGAATTAAATACGAGAGCACGTCTTTTAGGTTGATCATGGAGTCGAAAAAATTGATGATACCTCTCACGCTCCATTGAGTCCAACTCTACCTCATCGATCTGTTACTAGAAAAACATTAAAATGTTGAGAAATTCTTCGTAATGACTGACATTATTACAATTTTACAATCTCATTTGAATTTATTTTTATCTAATATTTGGTCAAAATCTGAATCATTAGAAAATCTTTGTAAGCGGAAAAAGGCTTTTTGTCAACCATTGAAGTATGGACTGAATTCTTCATAAAAACTAAAATTATGACATTTTTTCGAGTTCAACACTGGTGTTTTTATTACGATGAATTTGCATCTAGATGCAAATTCATCGTAATAAAAACACCAGTGTTG